AATGCCAACGACAACGTCATAGAGCCCCGAAAGGGCTCAAATTGCCGCAACGGGGGAATGTTTACTTTTCGAACACAAGTCACCATAAAACTAGGCATCTATGTACGTATAGAAGACCAGTGTGGAGTACCACACATTAGTGAGGACCACAGCTCACTGCATGCCGCATTACGCCCGCGCGCTCTCCTGCCCATTTTATGGTGTGCGTCATTTTGTCATCGATGGCTGCCAGTACGCGGCAATTACGGCGCTTCAACTGGTCATTCTCCCAGTCACCTGCGTACACTGCATGTTTAACTATGACTGGCCCGCGGCATACCTGGATCAGCCATAACTGAAGCTCATTCGGGGCGCGTTTTCTGCACGTCCCATGTGGAGAACATTAGGCTTCTCCAACTGCCAGCTTCTCGTCGGCATAATGTGCGGCTGTCAGGTCGGGTCAAAGCACATATCCAACGCGAGAGAACCCTTCTGGCGGGCATGACGGTGAGCTCCGTACAGACTTCCGGCGGTAAGAGGTCCGGCCAAAATGGCCGCGCTGGGAGATATTACCGGTCCGTGCACCCCGGTAGGAGAGATGGTCTCCATTCGAGCGCATTCAGTGGGGACTTTCCAGTATGCCGCAATATTATCTTATCAGGTACGCACCTCCATCTACCTCAGTACAAAACCACAGTCGGCGAGTATGCCATTTCCAGTGCGGGTTAAGTACGCTGGCATTGTTCATCGCTGCATCTTGTTCTCATACAGTGCTCTTCAAGTCGCGGTGCAGGTGTCTGTCGCACCGCTTCGCCGCGACGTGACGCGTGACGCGGTGTCTTGGACCGCTTCGGGGTGACGTGACGCGTGAAGTGGTGTCTTGGACCGCTTCGGGGTGACGTGACGCGTGACGTGGTGTCTTGGACCGCTTCGGGGTGACGTGACGCGTGAAGTGGTGTCTTGGACCGCTTCGGGGTGACGTGACGCGTAAAGTGGTGTCTTGGACCGCTTCGGGGTGACGTGACGCGTGACGCGGTGTCTTAGACCACTTCGCAGTGACGTGACGCGTGACGCGGTGTCTTGGACCGCTTCGGGGTGACGTGACGCGTGAAGTGGTGTCTTGGACCGCTTCGGGGTGACGTGACGCGTGACGTGGTGTCTTAGACCGCTTCGCGGTGACGTGACACGTGACGCGGTGTCTTGGACCGCTTCGGGGTGACGTGACGCGTGAAGTGGTGTCTTGGACCGTTTCGGGGTGACGTGACGCGTGACGTGGTGTCTGGTTCAAAATACCAATGATTGTTTCTACTTAAGTAACCTTACTAAGCCTAACCAAAAGAAGCTTTACCGCATACCACACTGTCTAACCTATTTGTATCGCAGCAGCATTTGTGAGACACTGATTCTCGCAAAATTCCTACCGCCACTTGCCATGTAATTAACCAACGTAACCTAACTGAAGGTAGCCCAGATGTTAAACATTATCTCAACTCAGCTCACCTATTTCTTGACACCAGCAGTTATGATAAAAACATGACAAAGCTTTTTTCTGGCTGGTTTCAACTCGTGTTTTAGTTCAGTTCATTTGTGCCAGCTGGCTAGCACCAGACATAATTGACAACAGACAGGTCAAAACCTCTCAATTTACTTTGAACAACTTGTTCTGATTGTCACGGCTAGACCCTGTCAACGGTACGGTAGTGGGTTTGCTCCACAAAACAACCTCTCTTCTTCAAACACAACACAAAGAACTATTATATTATAAAGCAACAAATATATGTCATTACAAGCACAACAAAAGAAGTAATTAAATACATATAAATACTTATAGTTTCCAAGTAAAATTTTGGTATCACCTCATTTGACTTAAAATTTGTAAAAATGGGTGGTAATAGGGATGTTGAGCTTCTAGATTTTATTCAGAAAACATTTGAAGAATTTTTCACTCCCGCATTTTGGGAGTGGTGAAATTTAGGGGTTAATTTGTCTTCGGGTAAAATAAATACGTGGAGTACAATTCTTTTCCAGGATTTGTCAGTAATTGCACCAGGCTTTGCTTTGCTGGTGTGATGCTTGCGTGGTGCGACCCAAAAAATTGGGGATACGTGAAAACCTTGCATTTGGCACACACCTGTAGCTTGTGTTTTTTAAACAAGACAAATTTGATGCATGCAAGCGGCTGGAATCGCTGGGGCTCTCGGGCTCGGGAGATACCTGGTGTCCTTGCTCATTGCATATATCGACATGACTCAGATGTAGGTGAGGCAGGATAAAGCCATAGGTGTCCAGGTTCTTGTTTATGCCTGATGGTTTCAAGTGAGCTGGGTTTTGGAAGGCATTCTAAAACCTCTGAAAGGGAAATATGGGTTTAGTGTATGTGGTTAGACAGCAGCAGGTAGATAGAGTGCTGCTTTATACCCAAAGTCGGCAGTTCTAGGACAAACTATATATATATATATATATATATATATATATATATATATATATATATATATATATATACATATATGTATCCGGTGGCCAGCGTTTTCAAAACGTTTGAGATGTCCCCCCGTTACCTCTAGTAATGTTCCGATAGGAATAAAATGCTCGCTGACGTGTTTTGATCACACATAATAATTAACTTCTTCTAACCACACACCGTAATTTGCCTGTCATTTAAGCTCAATACATTATGTAATCAATTTAGCGCCCTTAGATATCTGTTATCGTATTCAAACGACTAACGGAGTGAATTCATGCATCTCAAATCCGCGGATGGAATCTCGGTACATTTTACAACAGTTCCCGAACCTTCCCAGAGCCGGCTGACCGGGTGGACAAGCGACTAGCCAGCGCTAGCTGATCGACCAGTGGCCAGCCAGCTAGCTGGAAACCAATCTTATTGCAGATATCTTAGCTCCGGTTGCAGTCCGGTGATGAATCGAACTGGCACCGTATGTGTCGTTGGGTTCTGGGTCAACAGAAGGCACACACATATTATAGGAAATCACGCTCCTTGCAGGCTGTTATGCTGTCGTGTAGCATTCCTCAAGTTATTTCAGCACGACCTGGCATACGCATTAACACGTTTGAATACCGTGCCGAGAGAAATATTTGGAAAGCTTACATTGTGGGATGAAACGAGAAAAAAACGTTACGATAAGATGATAAATGACCTATCAATGTTCGACTGGTTTGCAGTGAACCGCAGCGCTCACTCGCCAGAACCTTCTGGAGGCGGATGGCCATCGTTTGGGTCGTGCCGGCGTCTCGGGGGGTCCGTCCCCTCCTCCCCAGCCCCCCGGCGAGGGGCACCGAGGGGAAGACATCCTGAAACAGGGGAGCCGGGGGGGGGGGGGGGGGCGAGACGTGAGGGTGGAGCCGTCAGCGTTATCAGTTTTCGACAGTCATTATCGTCGCCTTGGAGTCATCAAAACAGAACAGTCCTTTCAGTGAAGCCGGCCCTGACATTAGGTTTTTCCAAGGGTTTATTTCTAAGCTCATTAGCTGGCAATGTGGACAAACATGCAGCAATGCTTGCATGAAGCCACGGTATTGAGAAAAATCCCGTCACAGACTGCACGACTTTGGCCACATTTTTTTGCACGACGGTGACTGTTTCGGAAGCTGAGAGATGACGTCCGTGCTGATGCTCCCGCAGGTACCTGTAGATGACGTCCGTGCTGATGCTCCCGCAGGTACCTGTAGATGACGTCCGTGCTGATGCTCCCGCAGGTACCTGTAGATGACGTCCGTGCTGATGCTCCCGCAGGTACCTGTAGCTTGGTGCAGCGTAACGCCGGCACCTCCATGCTGGCGCCTGGCATGCCGGTCTCGTGATAAGAGTCCAACTGTGCTGTTCTCATGACGACCTCGTGAATCGGTGCCCTGTTTATGACCCCGTCATGGAGACGCTCCCGCTGCTATGCTGGTAAGAGTGGAATGATGCACTCCTGTGGCTATGCTGGTAAGAGTGGAATGATGCATTGCTGTGCCTATGCTGGTAGGAGCGGAATGATGCACTCTCTGGCTATGCTGGTAGGAGCGGAATAATGCACTCCTGTGGCTATGCTGGTAAGAGTGGAATGATGTACCCCTGTGGCTATGCTGGTAAGAGTGGAATGATGCACTCCTGTGGCTATGCTGGCAAGACTGCAATGATGCTGCTTGAGTCGTGCAACGATGAGTCCTTAATTGTATCACTCCGGAAGAGCATAGCTGCAACGATGTTGTCCCGTAGGCATAGAAACGTCTCAGAAAGGTTGAACGAGATTGGGGAGCAGCGCTTGATTCCAAGCCCATTCGTTCCACGCATCACCGTAAAATTAATGCTATTCTTCCCCAACATTGGGTCCGTGCCCCCTGGTCTCCCTTGTTCTTACATCTTTACACTGTCATGTGGTTTCATGCCAAAATATCCACCGACCGCAGTTACGTGTGTGAAAACGTGTAACATGACGACACTGTCTATATGATGAACCGCATCAGCCATAAAGGTATAAGCGTACGAACGCCATACGAATGATCATCGTCAAGCGCACCAAGTACGTAGGGATGTCTCCTGGAACGATCTATCAGAGCCACGGCCCTGAAGCTCCTTCCATATGGGCAGACTTCCGCCTGCACACCGCCTCACCATCCGTTTTTGAGAATACACCGCGCCACATGGGCAGGGCGGCGCAAATATTGGAATCATGCGGAGAAAATTCTCATTGCCTGCAAACATCCCCGTCATGCTGGTGCACCCCCGTCAACATACCACGTGGCGTGCCTGGGGTGGGCGCTTAGATGAGCATAGATAAGCAGCAAAAGGATTAACGCAACTAAAAAACCTGTTTTGACACCCTTATCTGCTAAACCTGGCGCCGACCCCCCTCGCACTCCACGGCTCCCCGTCGTGCCGATGCGGCCTCCCGGGCGCCGGCTTTCTCGCGTCCGCCCGCGAGCGTCCGCCGTCCGGGCGCCGCTCCCGAGCCCCGTCGATCAGGTGGTCCCGGCGCCGGTCGCAGCGAACAGCTGATGGCAGTGGGTCTGCGGCGAGCGAGGGGTGAGGTGCGGGACTGTACGTGGTGCTGACGGCCCGGCCCAGTCGTGACGCGAACGGCGCCCCAGCCTGCGGCCGCGAGTGACTCGGTGACTGTGACTGGACTGAGCGGCGACCCGCGAGGCGGACGGGCAGCGGCGAGCATGTCGCAGTCACGGCGGCCGATGTACGCATGCAGCCGCGACCTGTCATCGTTCGCCGTCTCCAGTCGCCGGCTGACGGCGCGAGGCAAGCCGGCGACCGAGCGCGACAAGCAGACGGACAAGGAGAGCGGGTTCGAGTCGAGCCCCAACAGCCCACGCGCCGGCTCTTCACTCGAGCCTGGAAACCAGTGTCTGCTCGCGGCGCAGACAGGTGAGTTCCGTGAGCGGCCCGTTGGCGGCCGGTGGCGGCTCAGGCGGCATGCGATCGCAGCTCGCGTTTGATCTGCGGCCGGTGCAGAGGTTCGGTTGGCGGCGGCGCGTACCGCGCGGAACTGGCCCGCTCCGCCAGCTGCGGGCCGACTCTGCAGCGGCGCAGCTGCCAGCTGGCGGCAGCTGCACGCGCCGCCGCTCCGAAGCGGGGCGCTAACGGGCCCGGACGCTCCCACCGAAAGTGGGCCGACGCCGCCGCTACCGGCGACCTGTTCCTTTCGTTCGTTCATTCACGCGCCGCAGCCGCTTTCGACGGCGGCTCGCGGCGCGGCGCCGGAGGAGGCGGCGGAGGAGGCCGGCGGGCCCGGGACGGCCAGGCGGCGCTGTCGTCGGCGACGGTTCAGGGTCAGGGGTGGCGTCAGGAAGTCGGCACTGCTCGGCAATGACGAACGCTTCCGGTAGATTTAAAGCCCAGCATCGTTCTGTTGACTCAAGAGCGCGGCGGCACAGGAGTTCGGAGACGGCGTTTCGAACTATCTTAACGCTTCATGAAGCCGCTGCTGGCATAAACACGGCGTTAACAAGTACTTTCACTCGCTAGATCCACAACGCCACGCCGTTCTGCTCTTTGTTCATTGCCGTTCACGCTGATGACGGTTTTTGTGCTTGCGGATCCTGTTGGGCGCCGAGGTTGCGAATAGCTGTCGCGCACTGACGGCAGGTGCCCCTGGTGCCCCTCTAAAGGTGACAGTGCAAACGGAGCGTGCCAATCAGCCCTCCAGCGCGACGACCAAAGTCCCGGATGGTAATTCAGCATTCGCCAGCGGCCATTTTGTCATTATCCGTCAAATGGCTCGGGTACGCGTTTGGCTTTACTCGGCTTTTTGCACGAGCGCGGGTCTGCGCAGCTGTTCACATGGGATCCGCGAGCTGTGCAATCGGAGGAGGGAACGAGCATGGACGAGCGAGATCGAACGGACGAGTGGAATCTGACGGGACTGCGTGACACTCCCTTCATTGCGGAGACACCCAACCGCGTTTTGTATGCGAGCACTACCCAGCAGGCGTGTTGTGAAGGGCGCATGATTTCGCCACCAACAGCTGTCATCGGATTCGGCTGTTATCGGAGCAGGAAAACTCGGGCGAGATGCTCGCTCGGGAGAACCGTCCTTGTTCGGCCGAGACGCAGTCGCCTAACGACGCTTCCCGGAGTGGTGTCGGTGGTGGGTTGCTGGGAACCGTCTGTTTGGCGGGGTTCGGTCTGAGTCAGCCCTTCCTGGCACACCACGTCGGACTCGGCGCCGTCCAGCGGGTTTCCGCCGGCCGCGAGTCCAGCGCCATCTGTTGGGGAAACCCCGCACCAGGTCCCGGCGTGGCGAACGGGGGGCGTACGGTACGGCTCGGAAACGACCTGTCGTCCCAGCTGAGACGTGCGGGACACCGGATGTTCCCGGCCGCCCACGTGCTGGAGGCGCGGCACGGACAGCTGATACCGCGAGCGGCGGCGGGCGGCGGCGCGGTAGTCAGCTGGGCAGGGCCCCTCTTTTCGGCGGCGCGGTAGTCAGCTGGGCAGGGCCCCTCTTGTCGGCGGCGCGGTAGTCAGCTGGGCAGGGCCCCTCTTGTCGGCGGCGCGGCCGGTCAGGGCCGCCGGCCCCGACTGGCGACCCCTGCGTGACCGGCTCACCCTGACGGCTGGCAGCGGACGGACGCGGCTGCACGAATTGCGCGGAAAGCGGCGTCCGTTTTTAGGAGGGCCTGTACCAGGCGGAAGCGTGCACCGTTTCCGTGTTCAGCACCGAGACCAGCGGCAGCCGTAACGGGTAGCCGCTGTTGCATCGCGCGCTCCTTTTTTGGTCGTCCATCATCTGAAAACAGGACTGATACATGCCACCTGTCACCGCACCGTCAGACTTACGAGCCACCTGACGCTTTGGTTATCGCACCGCGCGCGACGAGAACTGACCGAATCTGCTCGTTACACTCCACTCATCCGCGGCCGGCTTTGCTGACGAAACGGAACGCCGGCTGACCGCGCGCTGCAGTGAAGCCCCTCGGAGCCGGCGGCGGCCGCGCTCCGCCGGTGACCTGGTGTCGGCGCCGGCGTCGGCCCGACGTCCGGCGCCGCGCCGCTGGCCCGTGTCGCACCGTTACGACAGCTCGGCCGACGCCGGCGGTTGCTACGCGCCCGCGGCTGGGGCGCGGATGCCGGTCGGATGCGAGGAGGCGGCGCCGGCGCGGCGTGCACCGGCGTTTCTTCGTCCGCGGGTCCGGCCGGGGCGCGGCCGCCTGACGTAACGCGCCGCGACCGCCGCTTCCTACGTCCGGCGGCGCGCGCGTCATTCGGCGTGACGTTACCGCGGAGGAAGTCCGGGCGGGCCACCCCGGGGAAGCTGTGACGTCGGCTGACGGCGAGCGTGACGTCACGCGATCTGAGCCGCGGCCGCAACAGGCGCCGTCCTTCAAGCCGGTGCAGCGCCGTATTTGGCCGCGGGCAGCGTCGACGTGATGCATGGAGGGAATCGGTCGCACAGGGTCGGCCAGTCATTAGTGCTCTCCGGCGAGTGGAGCCTCGATCGGCCGGGCGGCTGGTGTGAACGCGGCTGTCGGGTACGTCGGCTCGTCGGCGACCTGCCCCGCCAGCTAAGCCGCTCTGCTGGCAGGCGGCCCGCCCCAGCAGTCTGCCGTGTTTCGCAGTCGAGAGGACCTTGGATGAAGTCAAGCTTACCGATGGCCATTACATCACGGATACGGCTTACGGATGCTGTTGATGTCGCTCACCAATGCTCCTCACGGCTAATGCTAACCCCACAACGTGGACGCTATCTAATCGCGGAGGCGGTCGCGTCCCGTTAGTCCTCCGCAGGTTTCTCAAGCCACGCTAAGCGTCGTCCGGCGGTAACGCGGCTGTGGTTTTGCGGACTTCCTACGGGGCGGCGTCGGTTCACAGCCCGGCTTTGCGGGGCTTTGCAGGCAGCTCGTCCATGCTGCGGCCGGGCAGATGACCGCGGCGTGTCGGCGAGTCAACAACCGACCGATGCCCGCCCGCTGCTCGGCCGGGCGCCTGTCCGGTCGGTCCGGCCGCCGGTTGTAATGGCCGCTCAGCAGAGCCGATCATCTGTCGATCAAGTTGACTTTGTTTTGTGGGTGAATCAGGCAGTTGGCCGGACATTCTGACGGTTGATCGGGTAGTTGATTCACGCTATCGATGCCTGGCCCACTCGGGGCCTTTTTGTTTGTTATCGGGAGTCCATTACTGCACGGTTGGGCTGCACGGCTGGGCGAGGTGGCTGTCCGGCTGGCCTGCCGGTCGGTCCGTGGAGCGGAGGACGCGGCTGAACCGCGGACCGGACTAGCGGCCATGCGGACGGCCAGTCCCGCCGAATGACGTCTGTAAGACGACAGCGCTCGAAAGGCCGTCCTCACGACCAGGTCGAAGAGATAGCGTATATGGCTCTGGCGGATTAGCCAGCGCGCGGGCCGCGGCCAGCTGTCCAGTAGAAGAGCCGTGCTCGCATTCCTCGGTCTCCCCACCGTTATGGAGGGCGTTCCTTCCTGTCAGCTGCCCTCCGATTCATCGCGATCAGCCGCAAAAACGGGTGCTGGGCGGCGCGGCGCCACCCGGACCCCGTCCGTCTGCGACGCAGCTCAAACTCCGCAGCCGCTGCCGGGCCGGCGGCCCCTGCGCCGCCTGCGTGACCTCGGCCACTGACCCGTCCGAGCGCGATCCCCCACAACACGGCGGCTAACGTGTCGGCAGATCGCGCTGCCAAGTCCAAATCCTGCCGGTCTCCGCGCCGCGGCGGCCCGACAGCGCGTCCGGTCGGCGGGGTGGACGACCCGCGGTCGCGGCCTCATGGCGCCGCCGGTGAACGAACGCGCCATCTGGCGGCGCGCGGAACGGGCCGCCGGCTGCCACTGACCAACTCACCGGCACGGCGGTGGCGGCGGCGGCGCAGTCAATGACCGCACGGCAAGGCCGCGCCGCGCCGACGGTCGCTCTTTGTGAGCGAAGCCGTCGGCGCCACCGGGTCATCGGGGCAAGTCGCCGTTCGGGCAGGAGTTGGGGGGGGGGGGGGGGGGGGGGGGGGCACGGGACTGAGGCGTAGATGTGAGGTACGGTTGGAGCGACGTATGGTGGTGTCGGGGTGGGAGGCTGAGTGCTGTTGGCCTATGAAGAGCCTTTGAAGATTGGTGTGTTCTTATACAGTGTCTGCCGTCATTTTGCGATCCTTATGCTTTATGACGTTTCCATTAGATTCCCATCCCGTACGGTCTTGAACCGTGCGGCTTGGCGATGCCTTCCCATAGGAACTTCATCCCGTACGATCTTTAGCCATGCGACCTGTCAATGTCATTTTCAGACCATGTGATCTTTTACCGTACAGACTTGATCCCTTACTTTTCCATCATGCCATGATTTAAATGCCATCTTCAGATGCCACATGCCATGCCACCTATTAAAGTAAAACCATTTTACATAAAAGAAAACGTGCAGCCATCCCCGTATTCGCACAACAGCACCGCGTGTTGAACTCAAGAAGTCAGTTGTGACAATTGGCTTCGCGCTGTGTCACAGCTACGTCACATTCGTTGAATGTCTTGCACTGTGTGGCGAGAAAAGTCATGCAGTTTTCCTATACCCTCATCCAACAACGCTTCATTAAGACTGAGCAGAGCAAAAACCACATCAAGGAAAATTGGTAGCAAACCACACCCTATGTATAGTCATAGGGCCTGCTTATTTTCATAAAATTGAATAGTAGCAGTGACTGATCGATGCCGCTCCCGTGCTGTCCGACCGATGTTGCACGCTCTGTGATCCAACAACGTCCATATTTGCCAGTATTGTATGAAATATTCTCTGTATTGCAGGGCATATAATCCAACATGTCCGGTACGCTTTGTAACAACGTGTCTTCTCGTTGCAGAGCTGCGCCACCAACGGTCTGCACAGTCCAGCGAATGTATTTCGCTGGAAAGCTTTAAATTCATCAAGAAACTCGGCAGTGGAGGTAAGCCCAGTTTGCGGCAAAACGCCTGCAACCGTCCGCCATTGCGTTGCACTTGGTGCTTTTTCTCCTCTTTGCATAAGGGTCATGATGACTCCCTTCTCCGAACAGTGGCTGGATCCCCTGTGTGTAAGTGTAGCGCAACTGGATCTTCAGCTCTGGGGTATGTCAGTCCTGTCTCTGGATGCACCGTCTCGCATCCCTCCTGGCATATCGTCCAGAGATCCTCGCCTTCGGCCGTGCAGTGCATTCTTGTGCACAGTGCACTTCTTGTATTAGGCTGACTTTGTGATGATAGCACCCCGTCTCTGGGTGCGCCTTGCTGCCCTGTCTCCGGGTATACTGTGCCCCCTGTCTCCCGGTGTGTCGTGCTCCCCTGTCTCCGGGTGTGCAGTGCTCCCCTGTCTCCGGGGGTGTGCAGTGCTCCCCTGTCTCCGGGTGTGCCGTGCTCTCCTGTCTCCGGACGCGTCACCACGCCGGTTGCCGCATCACGCGGCACCGAATTTGTCGGCCGCCTGCCGCGCCAGTCAACGACCCCGCGCGGCGGAGGCGACCGAGCCGGGCAGGCGGGCGCGGACGCCGGCACGCGCCACCACACCTGCCACCCTTCCCTACCACCCTCCCCCCCTCCCTGGACTCCCGGCGCCGGCTCCTGACGCGGCCGGGGCTGGCACTGTGAAGTCTGCTTGCCGGTGGCTCCGCCAGCGCGGCTCTCTGCCCCGGTATCTGTAATCGGCACAGAGCGCCGGAAATGGCAACGTGGCCTTTCCGGCGCCGCCGCCGGCACCGCGTTCTGGCGGCGCCCGCGGGCGAGTCCTCGAGCGGTGGTGTCCGGTGGCGGGCAGAACGAGGCGTTGACCTCCGCCCCCTGAGAGGGCCTCTTAGGTACCCGGCCTCCCGTCACTCGGCTTTTTGTAGGGCGATGATCTTTCAGAAGAAAGCAGATTTCAGATGGAGTTGGGTGATGCCGCGGATTAGGGTTCGCTCATATCGGGAGCATCGTGTGCTAGGAGTCAGCGCGGCGGCCGCTCCGGGTGCATGCAAGCCGTGACGTCACAGGGGCTCACGGACGCCACGTGCGGGCTGCTCGTCGGATATCTTCTGCCACGCTGTTGCGAGATTTCTGGTCGGATCCGTTCGCACAGAGCTGGGCCACTCCACAGTGTTCAAAGGAGACAGCCACTGTATTTTTGTTTTTCACTGGTGCCCGGCCTTCAACCCCTCTCGACCGCCTCGGTCCGCGCCCGCCAAGTCTGTCCGTGGCTGATGTTCCGACACGCTCTTTTTGATTGACTGGGACATGGCTTCCCCTGTCGGGAGCCGGCAGTTTACCAACGATGTGTGCGGTCCAACCTAGTGCATTTTAAGGTTAACTGTATTTGCGCCAGTGTTTTCACCGCAAGTGGCTGGTCACGAGTCATATGAGATTACAAAAGCCACGACCATTGTTCTGCTGTTTTTGTCTCCACTTCTTGTATTAGGCTGACTTTGTGATAGCTGGCAATACATTCCGAGGGGTCCTAATCCCAAATGGCTCTCGAAGCGTCCCAGATAAGATCGCACAAAGTTTGAGAAGTCTCCATTTTGATGGCCCTCGCACAGTTCACTGGCACCTAACCCTTAACAACGTCACATCCGATAACCTTGACGTCCTCGGGGATACCGACCGCCTTGTTTGCGGCATTCCTGACAGGAAAACACTCTAAAGACACATCAGTGCCATGCCTGTGATAAGCACTCAGGCGCCTGCCCGGCCGCGGTGTTTACCGCTGCATCGGCGCCCGTCTCCGGTGTCCCGAGGTCACGTGCAGGGGCGCGGCCCCCGCTCCGCCGCAGGTGTCCCTCGGCCGGCCGACCCGGTCGACCCGACCTGCCGTTGTGCAACGCGCGCCGACCGCGCACGCAAACACCGGCGCCGGTCGGCCCGGGCCGTCGGCCGCCGGTCGACGACAGCGCGCTATTTGTGTGCGTGCGCGCCGCTGCCCCCGTGACCCTGAGGGTTCAGCCAACCTGCTGGCGGCGCACGCACAGCGGCCGGCCGACTCTGCGCCAAGGTCGCCGGCGGCGGGCTCCGGCGGAGTGCGTCGGATGGGCGCCCAGACCGTCGCTGTCGGGCGGGAGCCGCGCGTTGCGCGTTGCGATAGGTACAGGTGGTGCTGCATTGGTCTGATATGCAGGCGCACGCTTGGCATTGCCGCTGTCGGGCGGGAGACTTCGCAGCGCGCACAGAGGATAGAAGCACAGCATGGCGCCACTGCCAGCATCGCGCCGAAGATTGTCCACTGCGCAGGCGCGTGCGTGGCCCGGCGCTGATTCCTCATTGGGTGCTGCAGTCACGCGGGTTAGGCCTGCGGCGCTCCTGGCAGCTGACCGCGCCGCGTATGCACGATCACATGGCCGGGCTGCACTGGGCCTGCCAGCCAGCGGAGGCTGTCGTTCGGTCGAGTCAGCCCAGCGCAGCACTACGATTCAGGGCCGCGGCAGGGCCGGACCCAGCGGCCGCGCGCGGAGGCTGGCGCCGGCTCCCGAGCTCAGCCACTCATGGGAAGACGCGGACGAGCGGAGACGTGGCGCCGGCCGACCGCCGCGCGCGGGTCGATGCGTGATTCGCGCGCGCGTGGTCGACCTTCGCGGCGTCGGGCGAAGCGCGGGGATGCGAGGTGTGCGCGGCGGCCGGCGGGCCTAGCCCGCGCGGCGCAGTTGCGGTGCGGAAAGGCCAACGTCCAGCTGGTCTCTGCACTGCCGCGCCGGCGCTCCTGCAGCCCGTTAGTCCTGACGAAACGGGCCGGCCCGACCGGCCGGTTTCACCACGCGTGCGGCGCGGAAACCGGCCGCCGCGTACCAACTGGGTCAAGTTCCGAGCGGCTTGCGGCGCCTGCCGCCGCGCTCCAGAGATGGCACCACCGGCGCCCACCTGCCGACGCAGTCGGCGACGCCGCGTACGACGGATTCCGCATGGCCGGTGCTCGGCGCCGGAGGACGAGCGACGGCGCGAGCTGTGGAGCTGACGTCACCGTCGTGGCGCCGCGGCCGGGCGTGATGACGCCCTGTTCGGACCACATCCGGTCCCGCATTCCACAGCTTCGGAGCGGCCGCCTGTCGCGGGCGCCGCCCTGTACCCTGACCTCGCGCCGGCAGCCTCTTATGGCGTCGCCAATCGCCGGCCGCCGCTGTATGCGTGCGTGCGGGGGTGTGCGTACCGCCCCCCCCCCCCAAGGCGTTGGGGTGACGCTTCGCTGAGCCGGGCGGATTCACGAGGGAAATGATTGAGAGCGTCCAGAGCGGAGTAGAAATTGGCGATCTCCCAGCTCACGTGCGCTCTGCCGACGCCGCACGGACCAGCACAAAGCCGCACCATTGGCCGGCTGCAGCCGACGGGGCGGCGTTTTCCGGGCGGCGCGCGCCTTTCCTCTCGGTGGTACGGTCCGTGCGGGGCGGCGGTACAGTTACGTGCGGTCGGGCGACGTGCTGCCGCCCGTCATGGCCGTCAGCTGACGCCACGCCGCCGTCCGCCCGCTGGCGCGCCGGCGGCCGACCGGACGCACGCGCCGCGGCGTTGTATTACCTTACGTGGGTGTCGTGGGGGAGTGAGTGAGCGTGTGTGTGGGTGGGTGAGCGGGAGGGCAGTGTGTGAGCGGGAGGGATTCCGTTGGGAACCCATGACGTCATCAGGACCGATGTTTGGACGGATCGTGGGGTATGGAAGTGGACATTGTCCACTGGGCGTATTGCTTGGAAGGTGCCAGTCGAGAGGGGCTACATGAAGTGTTTGTAGTGATTAAGCAGCGGGAGGACGGTCCGTGATCAACTTACAACACGATTGACGAAATCCTTCTCCTCCAACTTACCTTGTGCCTGAGATTAGCTTACACTGGATAACGTAGCTGCTGACTGTGCAGCAATGCTCTACTCGTCTCCAAGAGCTGCTTGGCGAGTGGTGAACGCCGCTGGGTTTGAAGATTTCAAGGACACTTTAAACGCCTGCGATGTCAAAGATAGCCCGCATCAGTCGCCTGCCTTCTGCAGGCAGGTAGACAACTGCGATAGGTCTTCAAGGTCCCAAATCGAATGTATCGGTTAAACGACGCCGTTATGTGGAGCATTGCCTGATCACGTGTCATGTCGATGATCTGGTTAACCGTGGTAAGCCAACGAAACTCTGTTGACACAGTGAAAAGATAGTGGTTGGCAAAGAAACCAAACCGGGACCCAGGGCATCCAGCTTGACCTAGTTTTACTTGGCCTCGCCAACAACTGTGGTAATCAAGTACGGTTACGGCAACAATGACGCGGGTTGAGGCGGCGCTTCTCAATCGATCGGAAGAGACCTCGACTGAGGAGGTAGTGTCGGGAACCGTTTTTAAAACAACTTCAGTGTAATGGCGGTCTTTGACACTTTTGGCGACTTGGAAGCACGGACCGTCAGTCCCGGAACTCCGCCTGACCTCCCGACACATAAGCGACACCAGCTAGGCCGAGAAACCCGCACCGAACCAGCCGAGCCGGACCTGTGGTGTCGGCGCCGTCAGGCTCCGCTGGCCGGCCGCCACCCGGCGCCGGTCGTCCCTCGCGCCGTCCGCCGTAGCCAGCTCCGTGGCGGCGCCAGCTCGGCCGGCCGACCCCGGCAGCGACCGTGTCGAAACCCGGCGGCCCTGCGCGCGCCACCATCGCCGCGATCGGCGCCAGGGCCGCGCTGATTACGTCGCGACGGATCAGCGGCGCTGCGCCAGCATTGCCGCAACCTGCCGCGCCGCGACCCTGACCCAGTCCCGTGCCCGGGGGCTTTAGAGCGCGCGGGCGGGGCGTGCTGGTGGCCCGCTTCTGTTCCCCTGTGTGCAAGCGGCGGCTGCAGAGACCTTGGCCTGACTCTGTTGCGCCCCGGACATGGCCGGTTCCGGGTGGGGAGACACTGCCGGCTCTGTGGAATGATCCGCTGCCATGGCCGCAAAAAGCAAAAAACCGTGCGGAACCAGTGAGGGTGGTGTATGGCTCAGCTTTCCAGACCTCGCCATATCGGATAGATGATGGGCAAGATTTCACGTTGGGCAATCATATAGATATGGAGTTTCTTCCGGGACATGGTAGCGTCGTGTTGACCGTATCAGACAAAGCCGCTGACTGCACCCGTCTATCCGTGCTCCAACACCGCACCCTGCCCGCACCCGCATCCTTCTACCCGTAGCCCCATACGTCTGATAGAGCGCATCCCTTGCGACTCTAACCGCGTGTATCTGGCCACCTGTGAATCTGTCCATGTCCGACTGCACCCCCGACTGCTGCGCCGACTGCACCTGACTGCTGCGCCTCTCTTCCTCAGGATACGGCAGCGTGGTGCTGGTGGAGAAGCGGCGGGGGTCGCGACCGTGGCGCGCTCTACGCCCTCAAGATGACAAACCTGAACCGGGCCGCGCTGGTGGAGCGCGACATCCTGCCACGCCTCCAGAACGTGCCGTACACCACCGACCTAGCCTACGCCTTCTTCTATCAGCGCCAGCCTGCCCAAGGCCTTCCTCGCGCTGTGTGAGTACTGACCTCGGGCTGTCGGCATGCCGTCCCTACCGGACTGTTCACGACTGTGCGTCGTTCCAGTGACATGTCGCTCCTACCGGACTGTTCGCGACTGTGCGTCGTTTCAGTGACATGTCGCTCCTACCGCACTGTTCACCACTGTGCGTCGCTCCAGTGACATGAATGAAGCGCGCGGTGTGCTTCCTCCGCTAAGTGCATCAGCTAAATATGCAGCATCGCTGGGCGCGCGCCGGGCGTTCGAAGCTGGCGCACCAGAGCGACTGCGCCAGTCCGGCGCCAGGTCACGTGGTGACCGTTCGTCGATTGGCGCGGGGCGGCGGCCGTGTCGCGGCGGCCGAGGGCGGCGGCCGTGTCGCGGCGGCCGTGTCGCGAGGCCTTCCGCGCAGCCGCCACTCCCACTACCGCGGCGCACCTCTCCCGCCGCTCGATGCGTTCTGCGAACGTCGCGTACCGGGAGAGCCAGGCGGGCAGGGGATTATGGGCGCGGCGGACTGCACATCGACCGGTGCCGACACGCCGTGCCCGAGCCGCCGCGGCAAAATGGGTCACGGAAATGGGACAACACCGGCGGGAGCCGCGCCGTGACGCGCCACGACCGCCGCGGGTGCGGGGTCGTGATCACGGACCAAACGGCGGCGCCAGCGTCGCGCAGACACCGCGCATTAGCGTCTTTGTGTGCGGATCCTGGCCGACAGACAAAGAACATGGCCGTGTTTTTCGCCCGGCTGGGAGGCCACGTGCCCAAAAAGCGCCGCGCACTGCGACGCAGAAGCGGCGCGGTGGTGGCCTGGGATCTCCGGCGAAAAAACATCCGTGTCGGTAACGGCGGGTCCTCACCGGCGTTCGCGACCGGGCCGCTGACCAGCGTTTGGCCGCGGAGCCGGCTGCGGCGCGCGGCCAGGTCGGCCGGAGCGGCGGCGTGCCGCCCGCGGGCGTGCCGGTCAGCTGTTGGCCGGCGGGCACGCCGCTACGAGGCTCGTGCCGCGCGCCGTACAGAGCCAGCCGGCGGCGGCAGGGTCGACCTTGACTGGCGGCCCGGGGCCGCGCCGCCAGGGTCCGCCCGCTGCTGCCGCCCTGTGCGCCGCCTACGTGCGTCGACGGCAGGCCGTCCGCGCGGCAGGGGCGGGGGGGGGGGGGGGGGGGCGCCGCGCGCGCCGATCGTGTTGGCTTTGGCCGGTGGTAGACCAGCTGACGGTGGGCGGCGCGCGGCCCACAGCTGGCCCTGTGCCCGGAGGCGGCGCACCCGGTCCGACGCCGCCTCAGCTGGACACGGGCTGAGGGGGACCGGCCCGGCCAACTCTGGCTGGCAACCTTGGCCGGTCGAGCGCGCGGCGCTCTTACGACACGACACGGCGTGACAGCCTCGCGCGTACTTTCTACGGCCGCGACCGTCGCGGTGCCGCCCGCCGCCGGCCGCCACAAAGGCCGCTGGCGCCGCCCGGCGCGCCGGGGTTTCACAGAGGTGTTTTACCGGCTGCGGCCTGGTCGGCGGGCCGGTGTCGCCCGGTTCGGACCGTGTTTACACGGGGCGGCAGCGGCCCCCGACCGCCGTCCACTCGCCCGGCTCGCCAGGCTCCCCGCGCCCCGCTCAGGCCCGCCGGCGGCGCGGCGCGGCCGGCGCCAGCTGTTGCGTGCGGCGCCGGCCGCAGCGGCCGATTTGGGTGACCGGGTGGAGCGGCGGCAGGCGGGCACGCGCGCGCGGGCCGGCAGATGGCCGGCCGGCCCCGCCCCCGGCCAAAGCCGACGCGCCGCTCGGGCGCGTCGGCGCGCAGCCCGGACGCCACTCTCCGACCGCTGACGGCCTTTTAACGGGAGGGGGAGGGGGAGGGGAGGGACACGCGCGCGCCGATCACCGGGGCAGATAGCGCCAACCGGGGACTTGTCGCAGCGATTTGGACGCGTCGCCGTCGCGCCGGCCGATCCGGCGTCTGGCTCCGGCGCCGCCAGAGCCGCCGGAGCCGACCGCTCGACTCTGACTCGCCGCATGCCGGCGGAGAGTCGCCGGCCACTTGTGCAATTGAACTGACACCTGACGCCACAGGCGAATGCCCCCGCTCAGCCGGCCGGCGGCCAGGTGGGCTGCCAAGTGGGCTGAAGGCTGCACTGGGACTGCCAGGCTGACAGCTGCGTCCCTCTGCAGCTTATGCGGTCGGAAAGGACCTGTTCTCGCTGGTGGGCCCCAGCCGCAGCCCCGGCTACCTGCGCCGCATGTTCGTCTACAACTACGCCCGCTACGTCGACCGCATGAGGATCGTGCTGGCGGAGCTGAGCGTCGCCATCCGCTTCCTGCACGAGGTGAACATCAACATCAGCATGAGCACGATCGAGATGTCAGCTGCAGCGGCTCGCGCGCAGTGGGATGAAGGTGCAGCTAAAGTCAGGTTTTCGAGCTTTGAAAACCCGATGCGCCTATCGACTCGATGTTCGTGGTGGCGGGAAGAGGGGGGGGGGGGGGGGGGGGGGGGAGGGAATTATTTAGAGGGTGAACTGTGATTGGAGGGGTGAGAACGAGGTTCGCAAGCTCACTTTGGCGTCAAAGACCACCCGGGCTTTCCCGAAATGTTATGGGTCCCTCGCACCCACCTTTGACCCTTGGTTCACGGGTCCGCTCTGACGTGAAAACAGACAGCCCCATTTGCGTGGACTTTGTATGATTCGCGAGACGCCCCTCCTCTGCCGTCGGCCCTCCCTTAGTTTGGCCGCTAATCATCTGTCAAAAGTAACGAAATGTGGACGCAAGCCGTCGCAATGTTTGTGCCGAGCAACAGTCTCCTTTCCGGAACCGCAGGCGACCGGGCAGGGAGCGTGCTGACGCCATGACTACCTGGTGCCGCGCGGCTAGTCCGCGGGGTCGGTGTAGCCTCTGAAGCTTGCTTGCCTTCACCGCGCCGTCATCGAAGACCTGTCTCCTGACCTGCCATCTCCAGTGATCCTCGTCACCCCTCGCCCTGGAATGGCATCACCTAGTTCCTCATAGCTGCCAGGTCGCGATGCAATTTGCTACTTCCAGTCGTGCTGCGCTCGGTGAAGTCCGGCGATGACGTGAGTCGACCTTTCCAGAACAACATCTTGTACCGCGACCTGAAGCTGGAGAACGTCCTGGTGTTCGGCGACGGCCACGTCCGCCTGGCCGACTTCGGCCTCTCGCGGCACTTCGAGGTCGGCGAGTCGGTGGGTGAAGTCGGCTTGACGACCGGGTGCTCTGCCGCTGCCCTGGGGGCTCGGCGCCCGCGGGGGCCCCTCGGCATGATCGAGCGGGGCTGCCGCTCAATACACCCGGGCCAATGTCGCTCAATTAGCCGGACGTGCGGCGCGGGCGAGGCCGGCGGTCATGCGGTCTCCGGCTCAGTCTCCGAGTCGGTCTCAGAGTCGATCTCAGTCGGCCTCGGAGTCAGTCTGCGAGTCGGTCTCCGAGGCCGTCTCAGTCAGCTCGTAGTCGGTCCTTCTGAGCTGCTGTGAAAGGCCGGAAGGTCCGTGCTGGCGGGGCGGTGGCGCTTGCAGTACAGCTCCCTCGCCGCTGCGCTGTCCGCGACGCCGTGCGAGGTCGTATTACGTGTACGGCCGCGCACGGCGTCGGGCGCCCGGCTAGCCCGATCATGGGCCCGACACAACCCCTGCGGCCACGTTAACGGTCATGTTACTCTGGTCTACACCGCTTACAGTCTGTCTGCACAACAGTCTGACTGTTTAGGAATGCGCCGATGGTCGCTGGCGGTCGGGACTACCCCGTTCGTCCCCACGAGCCGTCCCTGATGTCTGCCCGCCCTGGCCCCCGCCCGGCTGACTCATGCCCGCCAGCTAAGCCGTCCCCTCTCTCTCCACAGACGCAGATCAGCGGCAAAACGGGCACTCCGGACTACATGGCTCCGGAGGTGCTGAAGTCCAGCGGCGCGCACGGACCCGCCACCGCCTACAGCTTTGTGAGTACCGAGATAGAGCCGCGGCCGACTTTCAGTCCCTATCCGGGCTTCCCCGGCCCTCCTCGGCCCACACCAGCCCACCCCGGCCTCTCGGCCCGCCTCGGCCCTCCCTTGCCAACCCCGGCCCACCTGTGGTCTTCCCCGGCCCTTCCCGGCCCGCCCCGGTCATCCCCGGCGCCGCCCCATACACTCCTAGGTTCCCTGGAGCGGCCTCGCCGGGATCTGCAAGATATCAGCTGCGTCGCTGACAGCCGGCGTTGGGTCAGTACCGGTGACGTTGGAGCGCAGTTCGCCTGCCATTGCGGCGAGTTTGCGGACATCAGGAAATGATCGCCAGTGTTGAGTGCGCCGAACGCTCGTATCGGTGTTGGGATCACCCAAACCCCGACGTCGTTAGCTCAGTACACTTGCACGTGAGCTGCCGCCGGTGGCGTGTTGGCGGCACTTTCTCAGAAATTTTTCATTTCTCATTGCGATGCTTGGTTTGGACTGAGTCCTGAAACACCTTTCTGTCTCCGGCATGGAGTGTTATTCTCCCGTGGCGCATGACCTGCATCTCCGGTGGGTGAGGAAGGGTGGGGCAGCGCGGGGAAGGGCGTGCTCAACGGCGCCAGGGCGGAGCTGGACATCCGACAGCACCAAGTGTCTCCTGCCTTGCAGCCGTTCACTGAGACGCCTCCAGCTCATGTTTACCGTTCTCGCCCTTGGTCCTCTCGGGCCGCTGCGAGGCGAGAGGGGCAAAGTCCGCAACGCCCCCTCCTGATTGCGACAGTGACGCGGCCAGGGGCGCGCTGACAGGAGCGCAGCGGGCTCGCTAGGGGCGTGAAGCGCGACCTTTGGCCACGGGGCCGAGAGGACTGGCCGGGTGGTCTGATCAAAGTCCAGGGCCCGGTCTGCTGCCTCGCGGTCCGGGTTAGCTGGCTTGCCGTGGTCTGGGTGTGGTCTGATTCATTCCGGTGTGACGTGGTCTGATCTGTTCTCGCCTGCTCTGGTCGGGTCGGGTCGGGTCGGGTCGGGTCGGGTTCCTGACGTTCGTGTCTGGATTACGGCGCTCGGGTGTGGTCTAGGCTGAGTTTGGCTGGGCCCGTCTGGTCTGGTATGGTCAGGTGGTCTGCTCGGGGCTGCGGTGGCCCTTTCTTTCCTGGTCTGCCCTCGTCTGGCCTGCGTCTTGGCTGGGCTCGGCTCGTCTAGCCGACAGTTTTCTCTGGCTGCGGCAGGCGGTCGGTCAGCGCTGGCCGCCGCCGCCGAACTGGGTCAGTGGGACAGCGTCGCCCGGCCGACCTAGCGGTGCCCTCGGGACTTCGACACCTGCGGTCAGGTGTTGCGTCGCGAGGACACCGCTGTCGTCCCGGCCGCCGGGGCTGGGCCGGTGCTTGTGGGCACATTTTCGCATGCTCGGGTGGGTTTAAGTTGTGAGGCTCATACCTCGTCGTCGGCTCTCCCGTCACCAGACGTCTGCGGAGGCTGGGAAGGGGGGGGGAGGATCTGTCACCCGGCTGGCCCGTGACCTGTCCGCCGCCTGCCCTCGTCGGCTCCGACGCGTCGCCCCCGCCCCCGCCCCCTCCCCGCCCGGCCGCCTCTCCGTGGCGTCGGCACCGCGTCGGGAAATTGGACCGCTCCGGCGAGAAAGTGAAAGCACGCAGGCGGACCTGTCTCGGCCGGGGCGCCAGGCTTCATGGCGGCGCGATTCTCTTCAGTTGGGCGGGGAGAGGGCACTCTCTTCGTCTACCGTCTCGGTACAATCGACTTGGCTCGGCTCTGTGGATGCCTGTCTGGCGGCAATGCTGCGGAGGCTTGATTCAGGACGCTGGCTGTGCCGATCTGAACATTGTGTGTGCTGGCATCGGGCTTCTCTGAATCCTTTCACCGCCGTTTTTTCCTTGTCAGCGGAGGTGGGTTTCCTTTCGCGCTCGCACAGCCTCTTGTTCCTTTGTATGCAAGTTGATGATTTGGTGTGATCTATGGTATTTTTCGACATCTGTAAGGGAAAAGCCTGCTTGATTAGAAATAAAGTTGAACTTTTAAGACAAGAATGCCCGTAAACTGATGCTGATTTAGCTTTACTTTTCCGCGCGCGGGCTTCACTTTCACACATGCAGCTAGACCAGAAGCTGTGAAATGAGGAAGCTTCGCAACGCCGATTGCTATCTCACCCAGCTTACACAACACCAACAGAAATCGTGCACAGAAGCTAACCAGACAACTCCCTTGTTTTGCAGGAGGCCGACCTGTGGGGTTTGGGCGTCATAGCTTACGAGCTCATCGTGGGTCAGCTGCCCTTCAAGGGCCGTGAAGTGGCCGATCTCGAAGAGTAAGTAAACTGCCTTGATGTTTCCTGGCTAGCTCTCGTCCATTTCTTTCTTGCCCTCGTCCCTCCCCGTTTTCTATTTGTATTCTCTTCATGTAATAACCTATTTTGTTTTGCTTGAATCGATAGTCTACTCTCCGTTGAATTTAATGTAGAAAAGCATAAGGCGGCTTGAAACGCTCGAGTGCAGGCCATGCAGGCCCCCTTGGACAGCGCCTCCCACTAACGCTCCCAGTTGCTGTTGCCACCGCCCGTGGCCCGACGGGCGTGGTGGGGGGGGGGGGGGAGGGGGGGGGGGGTCGCGTGCCGTGCCGACGCGTCTGGCCGCCGCCTCCGCCGCCGACGTCGACGACGCCGACGCTCTCACTGAGGCTCGCCGCCGATTAGGGTCAGCGGACGCCACCGCGGTCCGCCCAGCCGACGGAGGGGGCGGGGGTCGGCCGCGCACGGCCCGCCGGCGCCGGCCTTTCACAGCGCGCTGTCCGCCGGCGGCGCAGTCGTGCGCTCTTGACACGAGGAAGGCCAGGAGCCCGACCACCCGCGCCCCAGCGCCCCACTGACCCAGTTAGGCCCACTCTCCCAAACCCGTCGGCCAGAAAGTGAAAGGATTCCTGGCTGCGGTATGTCGCGCGGGTCGCAACGCGCCGCAACACCGCGGCCACGAAAAACGCGCCCTGACTGACGACGGCCCGGGACTTGGCTGCCCTCCCCTCCCTCAACCTCACACACGCACGCATGAGGACGCGGACGGCGCCATTGGACGCGTGCTGTTCGGGCCGGGGCGCGTCCCACAATTATGCCGGCTGCGGCGCGTTTCTGGGTCACTTTCGCTGCGACGCGCGTCGCCGGCTGGCCGGTGGTTAGCCAGCGAGCCGCCAGCGCGTGCCAATGTGACGTGACGGCACTGAAACGCGTCGCCCTGGCGCGCGCGGCCTCGGCTCGAGAAGTTGGCGCTGCTCTTCCGGGAGAAGGTCCTGCTCGGGCACTTGCCCTGGAGAGCGAGCCGTGGCGCCACGTTCGCTCGCTTTTGAGCGTCGCTGGCGCTTCAGACCTGGCGACTGTTCTGAGACCGCGTCAGCTGACGGCAAGTTTCTCGAACATCTCATGCTCCGTCACGCTCCGGCTCTGACCCCGCCCCTCTTCTCCTCAGGTCGATCCTGCACGACCCGATCGAGCTGCCTCACCACTTCATGGAGGAGAAGTTCAGCGTCCTGCTCTCGCACGAGAAGCCAATGGTGCTGGCCGGGCTGAGCTTCATCCGCGCGCTGCTGCAGCGCCGGCCCTGAGGACCGCCTCTCCAACGACGACATCCCGGGCCACGTGTTCTTCAGGGTGAGCTGCGCACGAAGGCGCTGTCGCACGGGCGCTGTCGCACAGGCGCTGCGACACCTGAGCGCTGAGTGTCGCTGCCGACATCCGGCCGCGGTCACGTGGTCAGTTTGCCAGGCAGTAATGAAGCGGAGGCGTCACCGCAGAGACGTCTCGCGAAGCAGCGCCGTGTCGTGCGACCTCCCGCCGCGACAGCATGCGGTGTGGATGTGGGGCGTGCTTTATCAGATTGTTGCCAGCTGATGACACGCTGACGTTTTTCTCGGTGTTCGTCAGGATCTGGACTGGGAGAGCGTCAGCTCCGGTTGCCATGACGACCCGCCGTTCGACATCAGCCGAGTTCTGCGGGAGCAGGCGCCGGACGATGAGATTCAGCGCATTCCGTCGGCCTTCACCGGCTCGCCGTCCAGCAAGCGGCACAGGAAGGACAAACGGCCCAACTCGAGCGGCTATGATAATCCGTCCAAGTATAGGGTGAGTTGTGGTGGATGGGGGCATTGTTGATCTTTAGCGGCCTTTGTTCATGCTCCGCTGTGGGTACAGTTCCCGTGTGGCGAGGGTGACCAGTGTAATGCGCACTGACACTCTGGTCAGTTTTATTGACTGACATGCTGGTCAGTCAGTTTAAAGGCCAGCTGTGCTCTTCACTTGTATGCTGTTTACATTCCATCGTTCGCGAGGAAACGGCATACTTTCGCCGGGCCTTTTCCACAATTTGGTAATGGAGCTTTATGAACATTCTTCAAAATCTGATCTCCTTGAAATTTTTCTGTGATGTCATAAGTCTTTGAGAATGGGAATGTTTATTCATGCAATGCCGACTAGTCACAATCGTGCACAATCCCAGTCACAATGGAAAATAAATTATGCGTGCATTCCCGACCACGGACCACGACCACGACCCGGACGTGCGCCGGTCCCGGGTCCACGCTGACCGCTCCCGTCCGTCCGCCGGCAGAACTACCACTACTGCAACAGCCAGTTCGGCTGGTATGTCTCCAGTCTGGAGAGCTCACGGGGCCACGACAGCTCCGAGGCGCTGCCCGAGAACGTGCAAGTCGACGATGACGACCCGCCGGCCGACGGCGACGGTGGTACGGCCTTCGACGACGTGCCCCGGCCTGCTGGCGTTCGAGAGCGCCGCCGCCGACGACTCGTGTCTCTCGTCGCCGCTCAGCCCCGACAGCTCGTTCGGTGAGGAGCTGGACGAGAGCGAGCCCGGGGAAGGGCCGGCGTCACCACCACCGCCGCGGCTGCCGCTCCGCGTCAGGACATCCAGCTCTTCCCGCGCGTGCGCGTGCTGCCCGCACCGGAGCCGGCGGCCGCCTCGCCCCGTCACGTCGAATTCGACGCGTCGCCGGCGTCACCATCGCCGTCGCCGCCGGCGCCGCCGCCGCGGCGCGCGACGCGGCGGCTGCTGGAGCGCGCCGCCGCGCCGCTGTCGCCAATCCCAGAGCAGGCGTCTCCGCGGCCGCGCCGGCGCCGTCCGGCCGCCCGACCTCGGTTCGCGCCCTGCCTGCCGCCGAAGAAGCGGCGTCGCTTCCTGCAGCCGGAGCGTCGCTGGCCGAGAGTGGGAAGCGTCGAGCCGCGCGTCCTGGTGGAGGCGCAGTCGCCGCTGCCGCCCTTCGGCTCACTTCGGGCCACGCGCAGCCGCGCGGCCGGCCTGCGGTGATGGTGGCGCCTCTAGCGGCGCCGAGGTGCACTACCGCCCAGCAGTACAAACGCCGGCCGGCCGAGCGGCGCGGGGGCCGGTGCCTGGTTGTGTCCTTCGATATCGTGTCTTCGTGTGATGGCCGCGGGCAGTGTGTTTTCATATGGCGTGGTGTCCAGTGCCGATTCTTGTGCAATGTTGTCTCGGCCGCGCAGCTGACAGCGGAGCCGATTGTCCGAGCATTTGTGATCCCGAATATGATAGACTTGGGTCTTTCATGTGTAATCACAGTACCTCGAGGCTTTCCTGGAGCATGTATTTTGTTAGGGCGCGAGCGCGTTGGAGGGAATTTGACGCAAATTCCCGTTACACGCGATAGTCCAATGCATGCGATAGGCTCAGTCAACAATGCGTAGCGAGGCAGCGATGCTGTTTTAATAAGCGACAGGCCAAAAACTTTCCAAGTGCAACCAAAGCGAGGCTCAACCCGAACTATGCTCTTGCTGCACGAGCGCGCCGCTGGCCGTGGGGCGGGCCGCTTGCAATCTCGTCACGCGGCCCGCTGGTCGGGTGCAGTCCCGACGGGCCAAGTCCAAGTGTGATGGGAGACGCCGTCAGTGGCGCAGTCGGCCGCTGGAGCACGGTGTGCGTGTTGTGCCGGGCGTTAACGGGTCAGAGTCACAGTCATTTACCGCGTCCCGCTGTGGAAGTGTGCGCCACCGGCGGGCGGGAGCGGCAGCGCCGCGCACCCGACACTGTGCAATGGAGTCGCGCGCGCGCGCGCCTGACCCTGGCTCGGGTCAGCGCCACCCGCCGACAGTCGCCGAAGTGTCCAACACTTGAGGGTTTGTTGTACATTTTTGATGAATACATTCGCCGACTGTATTTGTGTTTGTGTTTGGGCGCGGCTAGCGGAGGTGAAGGAGCCGCCGGGAGTGAGGAGGAGACGTTTTGAGCTGCGGCAGCCTTGAAGAACGGCTAATTTTGCGTCAACTACGCTCAATGCGAGAAACCCGGCGTAGTGCTGAGATCATCAGGCAATGAATGACAGGACACGCCCTGAATACTCTTAGCTGAAAGCTTTAATGACCTAAAGCCACGAACGGACGTCTGCGGAAGACGCATGCTTTTTGCTTCGGGCCCCGCCATATGAAGCTTGACCTTGTGGACTATCAGTTACTGAATAACCGCGAGCTCCGATCCGCCCACTGCTCGCCCACGATACTGCTGTGCTGCACGCACCACGCGGGCAGCAGTGGCGCGCATGCTACAGCTGACGGCGTCTCACCTGACACCGGCTGCACCCGGGTGTTCTCATCCGTGCTCCCTCGTCCTGAAACCCCCCCCAGCGGCCCCCACGGGCTTCCGGAACATTCAGTTTTTGTGGGACAGCTAGCTCCCAAGGGCAGAGGCTCACGCTTTGTGATGGTTGACCGCATCACGACGTTTTAGCTTTAATGAGATTTGCACGTAACTGTGCAATTTCAACAATTGTTGTAACAGGGCCTATTTTAAGCATGTTGACTGGAGGGATATTACCGCCAGTGATGGCCAAATCCCCCAATGAATCGCGATCCCGCCAATGAAAGCCTTGGCTTGCAGGCAGCTCACACTGGGCCAGGCTTTTGAAACGGTTGAGGCAGAGATTGCAGGCAAGGTAGCATGCATTCTGTATGGAGCCAAGCACTCTTAGTTGAGGCAGCTGTTTTAACTACGAAAAGTGAAAACAGTGAGTTTAAAGTCGCTTTCGAAGCTCCAGACAGGTCAATTCATACAACATGGAAGACGAGAGAGAGAGAGAGAGAGAG